TTTTTTGGTTGCAGCCGTCATTGTTGTTTGGTGGGCCCAGGCTGGATTCGAACCCGCCAGCTCAGGTGTACGTGGCTAGCGCCTTAACTGCTTGAGCCATAGGTGCCAAGCCAATATTGTTATTCTTAAATGAGTTAGTAACTAAATATTTTTAAGTTTTCTCAGTTTTAATACTTAATTTGGTAAATATCAATAGATATAACTAACAAAAAACAAAGATTGCTTGGGTTCTCAATAATTTTTACGAGTGTAAAAGGGTCCTGAAACCAAACATTTTGGAAGCTACTGATAGAAAGCCTTCATGATGCCTGCAATGGTGGGTATGTAATGGGAAATAGTGGTCATTAACAATTATACAGTTTATAGCATATAGAGTAGCTCTTTAAGGGCATGATAATTTTCCACCTTGGCCCCTCTGTCCACAATTTGGGAATAATACCAGTTACCAGACTAGGCAACTATTAAGGAGAGCTCTGAAGCTGGATTAAATTTCCAGCACTTAACCTGGTCTCATTTTTTCTATGGTTTCCTTTTAGAATCCAGAGTTTATGTATGTTTGTATAGGATTTTCCCAAGATACATGCTGTATCTAACCAGCTGCCCTGCAACAGCTTTCAAACTCTATTCTGAAAGGGCCTATTAGAGTACTCTACTCTCAAGGTACCCAATTCCCAGAGCTTCACTGTCACCAAGGCAGAAGACAACAATAGCTGCTAAAATTCCCTTTCAGAAGCACAGAAAATGATTAATCCCCAGTCTAGAAAAACTCATCAGCCCAGTTATCATCACTTACTTTTCCACTCACCCCTGCATTCCCTCATCCAACATTCTCAGAGCCCCTATCCCCTACCGATGATTTTGCTATGTGCTGAGAAACATCTACTTTTTGGCAAATTCTTACTCATCACCTAAGATCCTAGTTAAAGGACAAGGAAATTTTGCTGGCCCAGACTAAGTAGAACTAATTCTTTTTAGTATAGCATCTATTACACTGTCTCATAGATGTATTCTCTATCTGCTCCCCCCTTGCCCCAATCCCCCAATAGAATGTGAACTCTGGAGGCGGGGTATAGATTTTGGTCATTTAAGTATGCCCAGGAACCTAAGACTGGCTTGGGCCTAGCACACTGCAGACATTTATTGAATAAATGAATGAATGCTTAAAGCCCATCTGGTTCATGTCTCAGCTGCCCCCCACAAAAGACAAAATTTAAAATAGTTGGTCAAGCGTGGTGGCTCATGCCTCTAATTCCAGCACTCTGGAAGGCTGAGGTGGGAGGATCACTTGAGGCCAGGAGTTGAACTGCCTGGGCAACATAGTGAGACCCATTCCTAAAAAAACTTCCCAAATGAGCTGGGCATGGTGCTACACGCCTGTAGCCCTAGTTACTTAGGCGGCTAAGGCAGATAGATTACTTGAGCCCAGGAGTTCGAGGGGACAGTGAGCTATATAATCAATCTTGCCATTGCACTCCAGCCTAAGTGACAGAGTGAGATCCTGTCTCTAAAAAACAAAACATAATCAAACCAGCCTCTTTCCTGACATGCTATGGTAAAGGCATAGCTACATCACTAAACCACTGGCAATCACTGCTAAGAATTTCAAACTTTTCTAACAATCAAAGCTGTAGTGATTCTCAGAGAGCTGACACAAACCTCCCTTAGTGCCCTGAGGCTTTACCCAAACTTCCACACAGTTCCTTCCAGGACACAGAACATCTGTTTCATATCCTAAAGCCAGTTTGTGGAGAATCCTCTCTGGTTGTATAAACTGAGTTGAGGACAGAGCAATGAGTATCTGACTCTAGTGATCCCCCACCCCTATAAGGCTAGCTCACCCATTAAACTTGCTTCCTGAGTGCCATTAACCACAAAGGAAGGCCCAAGCTGTTAGTTTACCTGGATGCTCAGGCCAAACTGCTACTTTAAAACCAGCCCCAGCATAGGTTTCTCATAGGTGTAAAAACATGAACTCTGGAGAGTTGTGAGTTCAACTCTCAATATACTGTTATTCAATACAGTTGAGCTTCAATTTCCTCATTTATGAAATGGGAATAAAACCATTTTTTGCGGAGTTGTGAGGACAGAATGAAATAAATTATGTAAAGTACCTGGCCTGAGCCTGGCACACAGTAGGTGCTCAATACCCGTTAGTTTCTTTCCTCTTCTGTCCTGGAAGAAATGACAGGGAAACTAAGTGAGACTTGCCCAAAGCAAATTTATTACTTAACGCATAGGACAGAGAACTAGACAAGTGACCGTCAAGGCTTCTTTGAACCCCAAAGTCCATGTTTTCTGGCTATAACTTCCTAGTAAGAACCTTTAGTGTTTGCACTCTCTCTGGACCCTTCTTTCTACTTTAGTTTCCCTGTATCATTTTTTTTTAGAGTAGAGAGAGAGCTCACTCACTTTAGAATGGAGGGGGAAATCATAGAGAGAGGTAAGACCCTGGGGTAGGAAATAAAAGGTAGACGGCTTATAGGCCTGCAGTATGTTCACTCACATGCTGCATAAGCTCAAACCATCCAGAGTTTGAAGGATGAGGGTGGAAGCAAGGGCACAAAACCAGATGGCCCTTCCTGGGATATAAGCACATATGACTCTCCTTAGTTCTTTTCTGCTTCTGCACATCCTACCATGAAGGACCAGCAAACATTCTTTTCCCCCCAATATATAAAGCACGAAGCCTTCATGCATGCTCTTCCCTCTCCCTATTTTTTTTTTTTTTGGGGGGGGGGGCTCAGTGTGCGTGTTATATCCTGGTTAAGTCCACAAGCAGAAGATGAATTCAACTTTGCTCTGGGAGGCCCTAACACTTTTTTTTTTTGAGACAGAGCCTCAAGCTGTCACCCTGCGGATAAGGTGCCGTGGCATCACAGCAACCTCCAACTCCTGGGCTCAAGCGATTCTCCTGCCTCTGCCTCCCTAGTAGCTGGGATTACAGGTGCCTGTCACAAAGCCAGGCTACTTTTTGTTTGCAGCTGTCATCGTTGTTTGGCAGGCCCGGGCTAGATTCGAACCTGCCAGCTCAGGTGTATGTGGCTGAGCCACAGACGCTGAGCCAGCCCTAACACTTTTTACACACCTCTAGAACACAGCTTATTATATATGTCCTGGTGGTTGAAATCTTTCTTCTCTACAATACTGTGAGCTTTTCAAGGACATAGCCTCTGTCCCACAAGTCACTGTATTGCAGTCATTCAGAAAAGGCCGTAACATGCAGTAAGCATGGGGAAGCATTTTGATATACAAAGGAAAATCAGCAATTAGAGAATATCATTAATAAGGCAGTCCTGAAGGAAGTTTTTGTTTTGTTTTGTTTCTAAACTAAGGTTGTTTCTATTTCTGCTTGTGGAAAAGCTCCTCCCTGGGAATTCTCACTCTGTGAAGAATACCTTAGTTTTCCTCAAAGATTTCCAGGGCACAATTTAGCAGTTCCCAGATTCAGCCAGATGTCACAATCACCTGGAGGCAATTCAACAATAGATTCCTGGGATCTAGACCTGGAGACTCTCTTGACTCTGTAGGTCTGGGATAGGATCCAGCAAAGCACAGGAAATCTTATGATTAGCTAGGCTGGGAGGAGGGAGGAGGAATCAAGCAACCACAGCTGCCTTTCGTATTGAGAATTACTTCCTCACACATTATGAAAGAGAATTTGCTGTTCACTTTTCGTTTAAAACCTTTCTCTGATTCCTCACTGCCTGTAGGATAAAACTCAAACCTCTTTGTTTTCAAGAATCTTACTAACTCCTCCAGCCTGATCTCTCCCCACTCTGCAAATGAGTTGGGTAATTCTCATCTCTGGGTTTTGTATATGTTACTTCCTTTGTTTAGAGTTAGACCCCTTTCTCCCATCACGTCCTCTGGAGAATTGCTACTTAATCTGAAAGATTCAGTTCTGAGTAACTTTCTCTTCCTCATCCTCCCCTAGGCTGTCATGTTTTGGGTAACCTCAGTACTTAGTATCTTAAAATTTACTCATAGCTATCACTTGTGCTAAGCATGCAGGACTTACTGGACCCTAACATTAACCCTATAAGCCTGGACTCACTGTTATTTTTTCACACAAGAAAACAAACCAAGAGTCTGAAACATTTCCAAAGGCCACTTAATAGGAGCTGGGATTTGAATCTTTACTCAGAGGAAGCAGATTCTATACCTTTTTCTAACATTATTGCAATTACTATAACACATATTCTTTAGACCAGTGATTTTTCAACCAATGTGCCAGGAGAGAACCTTAGGTATGCTGCAAAAAGTTTTTTTTTTCCTCCTCAGAGTTACTTATCCTCATGGAGAGCCGCAAAAAGTTTTAAAAATCATTAGTTAAGGCCGGGCACGGTGGCTCATGCCTGTAATCCTAACACTCTGGGAGGCTGAGGTGGGTGGATCACCTGAGCTCAGGAGTTCAAGACCAGCCTGAGCAAAAGCCAAGACTCCATCTCTAAAAATAGCTGGGTGTTGTGATGGGTGCCTTTAGTACAGCCACTCGGGAGGCTGAGGGAAGAGAATCGCTTGAGCCCAAGAGTTTGAGGTTGCTGTTAGATATGATGCACTGGCACTCTACCCAGGGTGACAAAGTCAGACTCTGTCTCAAAAAAAACCAAAAACCAAAAAAACTTTCTTAAATTTCCAGTTAATGTGAGGTTACAAACAACTAGGTTTAATATTTGCAACTAAATTATTTTTTGAAAGACATTCAAAGCATACTAAGAATACACTACTAACTATATTCTTTTTTTTACTTTTTTTTGAGCAACATAATTTAAGTATGCCAAGGAAGTTTAACTATAGAGTCAAGTGTGCTTGAAATAAAAAAGGTTGAAAAACACTGCTCTAGACTATTAGCTCCTCATGGGTAGGGACCATGTCTGACTCACTTTTGCATTCGCAGCTAGCCAAGGTTCTGGCATAGATCTAGGATTGGTCAATGTTTGCAGAATAAATAAATGCTAGGTGGGAGGAAGACCAGGCATCACAGCATATGTGCAACGGCTGGCCTAAATGAATGAATGACTGCCAACCTGGCCCAGCAGCAGGGGCAGGTTAACAAAAATGGTAGAAACCTAACATTTCTTGTATTAAAATTAAGTTAACAGCCATGCATTGAGCAATAAGGATAATGTGCAATACATAACCCCAAGATGAATTAAAAAATACACCTTGTTCTCAAGAGTTCTATATACAGTAAGTAAAGGTGTTAGGACCATCCATCTGATATCAGACATACCAGCTCTGGGACATTTTAAGAAAATTAAAAATCTGGCTCGGCGCCTCTGGCTCAAGCGGCTAAGGCGCCAGCCATATACACCTAAGGTGGCGGGTTCGAATCCCCAGCCCGGGCCCGCCAAACAACAATGATGGCTGCAACCAAAAAATGGCCAGGCGTTGTGGCGGGCGCCTATAGTCCCAGCTACTTGGGAGGCTGAGGCAGGAGACTCGCTTGAGCCCAGGAGTTGGAGGTTGCTGTGAGTGTGATACCATGGCACTCTACCCAGGGGGGATAGCTTGAGGCTCCATCTCAAAAAAAAAAAAAAAAAAAAGAAAATTAAAAATTTTAAACCCTGAATTGATAAGTCTTATTCACCAAAGGGCTTTTGCCATTTTACCTAGCAAATCTCCACTGGTTTACAAAGAGCCACCAAAGGTGGCAATGGAAGTAGTACATTCTGGGTGGGCAGTGACCCTAAAGAGGGAAGTTCTTGAGGACAGGGACTATCTCACCCATCTGTGTACCCCAAATAAAGGCCCTAGCACAGAGGTTGTTTTGATGCTTGCTGAGCGAATTAAATATAATGAGATGGTTTTATTAAGATGATTATTGATCATCTGCTTCAATTCCCTGAGGGAGCTGTGGGAGAACCACGGCTCTAGAGTCCTTTTAAGCTAGACTGGGCATAGTCTCAGGGGTCTGAGAAGAGAGATCAGGGGCAGGAACAAGAGGTAGGGAAGGCTGAGATGACCTTATTCCCTAGCCCCCATCAACTGCTGGTTTACATATTAACAAAACTCTTGGGGCCTTACTCAGTGTACACCTGGATTACATGCTGAATGGCCCAAGAGAGGCCAAAGAGAGTAAGCAAAAACTAGCAGGTGAGAACACTCAGGCTTTGGATGGACACCTGGCATAGCTCTTGCCACAATCAACTCCTACTCTTGGTTAAGGGGCTTCTGCATACTAGGTGCTACATGGGTTACTTCACATTCTTTTGTGATGTTGCTGATGAGGCTCAGAGAGGGGAAAAATGTGTCCAGAGTCACAAAGCTAAGAGGCTAAGTCAGAAGTTGAACCACTAAGTCTGTAAACATAATTTCCTACTACTTTCTTCAATTGCTTTTTGAGTTTTTTGTTTTTTCTTTGCTAATAAGACAGTAACTGTTTTAGTCTTCTTGTGAAATAAAAAGGATTTGGACTCTAAATCTTTTGAGGTTTTTTTTTTTTTTTGAGACAGCATCTCACTATGTTGCCCTCAGGAGAGTGCCATTGTGTCACAGCTCACAGCAACCTCAAACTCTTGGGTTTAAGCGATTCTCTTGTCTCAGCCTCCCAAGTAGCTGGGACTATAGGCACCCACCACAACACCTAGCTATTTTTTTGGGGGGGGGGGTCGCAGTTGTCATTGTTGTTTAGCTGGCCCTGGCTGGGTTTAAACCCACTAGCGTGGGTGTTTGTGGTTGACGCCCTACCCACTGAGCTATGGGTGCCGCCTGGGAATCTTTTGAGCTTTAAAATACTGGCTCGAATTAGACAGGGTTTAGAATAGCAGTGGAAACCAGAGGAACGCCCAGAGGCAGAGGAATGACCCTACCCTTTTACCAGGTACTTCTCATCAGGGCACAAAAGCCTGCTTCTGGCATCCAGACCTCAACCCCAGCTAAAAGTAGGGCATAATCAGAACAGAGTTTGTCAGTTTGTTTCACCTATTTGTCAGTGTAGTAAAAAATAAAAAGTTTTGTGGGCAGCGCCTGTGGCTCAAAGGAGCAAGGCACTGACCCCATATATTGGAGGTGGTGGGTTCAAGCCCAGCCCCAGCCCAAAACTGCAAAACAAACAAACAAAAAAAAAATCAAAAATAAAAAGTTTTGTTAAAAATCTCCCAAAGTACATCAGAGTGTTCCCTCCCCCTCTTTTTTGGGGGGCTTGACAACTCTAGTAGGAGCCAATTGGGCAAATGTTTAGTTGCTCAGAGTTTCTGTTTCTTCATCTGAAAAACAGGGTAGCAATATTTATATTTTTCGGTTCCTCCATTAACATTTGTTAATTATGAGGCATAGGGGTACAATGGTGACTGTCATGGCTCTTGCACTCTCAAAGTTTATATATAAAAATAGACAAATAATTATATCAATAGTTAACTCATCATATTTGTGCTAATGCTTAGAAGAAATACAGGGGTGGGGTGGGAAGATAAAAAGGCATGTAAAGTGCCTGGCACGAATAAATGAATGAATTGGCAGGTCAAGCAGTGGAGTAGACAAGAACAAGATAGGAACCTAGATATCAGAGGAGTTAATGATGCTTATTGCTCTAGGGAAAGTTGTGTCCTCAATAAAATCTTAATAGTTAAGTCATCACCCAAGCTTTCTGGCACTTCCAAGTGGCAAGGAGCCTAACATACTGCATGGTCTGAATGGGAAGGAGGAAGACAACAGCTCCCTGGCTATCCCCTCTCCTTTTTTGGATAATGGCACTCCCAGGAGGACCTAGGGTAGGCTAGAGGGAGACACAGCCTCAGCGTTGAAAGCCAGACCCAGTGAGGGTGCAGTTCAAACATGTGGAGTCTCCTTTGTAAACCATGTCAGCCCAGGGTAGAAAGTTGGGGTTGGGGGTGAAGGTAGGGCTTCTGACACTCAATAAAAGGTGATATTTTCATTAATTAAAAACCTTCTTATTGTGATCTGAGGTACAAAGACGACCAGCATCAAAACTGGGTTACAATAAGCAGTTTCTGAACTGAATCATGCTCTCGTTTACCTAATTATTTCTACCCTGTATCAGCAACGCCCTGTGCTAGGTGTGGAGGATCAGAGATAGACGACATAGTCTGTGCCCCTTTGGAGTTCACAGTTTAGTGTGGGGAAGAGACACATCAACAGAACAGTTTCATCATAGAAGGGGGAGTGCTCCCAGAGGGAGAACAGAGTGGGTACCTGATGCAATGGGGGAAGTCAGGGAAGGCTTTCTGGGAATGATACCCCAAACAGCATCCCCACTCACATGCACAATTCCAGAGACTCTACTAGAAGGCTGTCAAGAGCCATGCCTTCTGGCTGCACCAGCCTCCCAGAGTCCCCTGCTGCCCGATGCAGTGTCTGCAGAGCCAAACGCATCTTCCGCCACGCCTCATCCTCATCCGGCGCTGCATCCGACCCTCCAAGACTCCTGCAGGAGCCTGCCTTCCTCGGCAGGCTCAGCCAAAAGACCAACTCAAAACTCTTTTGTCAGAGCAAGCTTAGGGAGAGCCACCCAGCCCCAGCTGCCACATCCCTCCCAGAGCAACTACAGCCCATGCCACCCCGCCTCTCAGTGAACAATGGCAGGGTACCTTCCATTATCTCCTTTGCTCCAAAGAAAGTGACCTTCCAAGTGGCAAACTGGAAGCTTTGGAAAATCGTTCTACTGCTCACTATTGGCAGGATTCTCCAAACCAGGGGTCTGAGGGTCGGGATGCCTTGTGGACTAGGGGTATTGATGGGAGAAAGGGCAGGTTTTGCTGGGGTTCCACCTCAGTGCAGGAACCCAACCAAAGTCTTTCGGGCAGCCTGGATATCTGCTCCAAGTGCTCTGCGGAGCAAGGAGAGGAGGGAGGACCCAGGAGACAGACGCTGGGAACACAGCTGCTGAGGAGGCAGTGGCTGCAAACAGTGCAGGGCAAGGAGTGGAGCCGTTCCCAGGAGTGAGGGAAAAGGCTGCAGCCTTCCAGGCTCTGGCGCCCTAAGATGGCCCGGGATGGGTGAGGGAGCAGGTGAGCCCAAAGGGAGCTGTGACCTAATGGATCAGAGCCCAGTCCGTGTGTGTGTGTGTGTGTGTGTGTGTGTGTATGATATCAGAACGCTTAGCCTCTGTTCCAGGCCAGAAGCGGTGGGGAGAGGGGAGAAGCTTCAGCTTGGTCGCAAAAGGACCGGCCGAATCTCGGCTTTGGAGACAGGGATCCAGCCTCTATTCTCGCCCCTGGGAGAAAGCCTCAGCCCCGGACCTCAGGAGAAGGCTCCAACCACAGCTGGGGCAGGTCCAGGGTGGAGGAGAAAACGACCTAAGATCTGAAGTCGCCTCGCTCACTCCTACCTGCGGGCCCGGCGCCAGGTTGGGCTCATCATCCTCCCTGGAGCCGTCACGGTCGGACTCCACCGGCGCCTCCGGGGCCCCTGCACCCGCTCCCGCCTCCAAGCACGGCGGCCGGGGCTCGGGCGACTGCGGCTTCTGCGGTCCCACCGCCCGAGCCCGCTCACGTCGGCCTGCGCCGCCGCTCGGCCTGCTCCGCCTACGAGTCATGCTGCAGCTCGCGCGGCTCCCTCGCAGCACTTCCTCAGCAGCAGCAGCCGCAGCAAGCACCGCCACCGCGCCGCCGCTCCCCTCACAGGACAACAGCCAATATGGCGGCGCCAACTCCCCCTCCGCCCGTCGCCAGCAGGTCAGAGGGCACGCGGTGTCCGCGCCGCCGCACTAGCCACCGAGGCTGCCTGCGCCATTTTTAAAAAGGACGCCCTGGAGTTCGTTGGGCGAAAAACCTAGTAGGGAGACTCCCTTCGCTCGCAACGGTAACAGGAAGGATGCGACCTGCGGGAGGAATGCGTGTAATCGTGCTGCAGCGCTCTGGGAGCTTTAATTTCTATAGTGCTACGGTACTTCGCCGGACTACCGTTAACGCCACGGTACAGATCATTCCCGTTTTGCAGCGGAGAAAGATTGCAGAAGGCTTACGAAAGATTGTTCCAGGCATCCGGTCAGAATTCGTGGGCTTGTGGATCTCCAGAGCTGACAGTGAGGAAGAGATGGTCTAGGTCTTTATCTGCAATTTATGGTCCACTAGGAGTCGAGCGTTCTGCGCTTGGAACGGCGGGACTAAGACCTGGCTCCTGTTCCAGAGTCTGGTAGAGAAGATGGACATGTAAATACGTAGTTACAACCAATTTGATAAAGATGAGATAACTAGGATACATACTACGCCGGTGTTTGCAAAATGTATGTGCAGGAGAGGATTTTAAAAACTTAACAGTTCCATATTGTTTTAAAATGAGATTTTCCTCCTTTCTTTTTGTTAATATGCTGTATACCACATGGTACAAATTAAAAAAAATGTTTTGAGTGTAGTTTCGCTTATCCTTGGGCCATTGGTACTCTGAAACCATATGATGGTTATATGGAGAGTTGCCATTGATGTAATTAACAGGAACAGAATCTTGACGTTGCCTTCCTACCCATGCAGCAAGGGCTATTCAGAGAGGAAGAGCAAAATGGAAGGTCCTGGAGCTCTCCTTAACTACCAAGAACATAAATCAAAAAGAGTACTGTATGTCATCACAGGGATTTGAAAGATGCAGGTGATTCCTATCACATCAGTTTTGGTAGAATAGAAGATAGATAGCCTTAAAAGATAACAAAGCATTATAATAGACTTATTCTGGCAAGGACCCCAGGAACTCTTCTAGATATGGTCCTTCTTGGAGCATATTGACACAGTTGTTGACCTATAGTGGGCAATCAGCAGTCTAGTCAGTTCTTACTCTTCTAAACATTAGGAGTAGGTTGCATTCATCTGGCAGGGACAGCAGTAAACCTTCACTGTCATGCTTCAGGGATATGTCATTCTCTGGACATAGTTTACAGGGATTTTTGACCAAATTGCCATTTTAATGAGTATCAGGCTAATCTACTGTGGCACCAAGGACATAATCCTGATGGACATTGAAAGCAAGAAGTAACAGCTATCCTAGATGACTTAGTAAGGCATAATGTGGATAAGAGGATGGATAATAAATCCCACAGATATACAGGGGCCTATCCAGTGAACTGTCTAGGGGTTTGGAGTGTGTTGAGATAATCCCTACAAATGAAAGATAAGCTGCTATGTACATCACACTCCCTACTAAGAAAGAGGTTCAATACTTGCTGGGCTTCTCTAAATCTGAGAGGTGGGAAACATATTTAGGTACATTATTTTGACCAGTTACTGAGTCATTTGAAAGCTGCCAACTTTAGAGGAGGATTATATAAGGAGAGGTTTTCTTACCAGGCTGCAGAGTAAGTAGTTCTAGCTTTGACCTTAACACTCAAGCATTGAATTTTGGAGCAAAGTAATACTTTTCTTCAGCAAATAACTATTCGCCTTTTGAAAAACAGCTCCTGGCTTGCTTTGGGGGTCTGGTGAGATTGGATACCTGATCGTGGTATCCTAGGTGAACATGTGACCTGAGCTTAATGTTATTTGATCTACCCAGCCATAAAATCTGGTGGCTACCAGCACCCCGTCATCAGGAGGAAGTGACACATCTGGGCTGGGTCCAAGCAAGTCCTAAAGCACAAGTAGGTTGCCTGAGCAAGTTGCTTACATTTCCCTCCTTCCCTCTGCCCCAATGTAGTAATGGTCTTATGGGCAGATGCTATTACTGAGTTGACTGAGGAAGAAAAATCTAAAGCCTAGTGGTATGCTGGCTCTAGCCAGAAGTAGATTGCTAGAGTGTTCCAGTTTTCCTCCGAAAGGGCCTCAGGGTATAGAAAGGGAAGTCAGCTCAGAGACCTTGAAATAAAGGCACACCAATTCCTGGGCATTGCCTTATGGTTTAATTCAGTGGTCAGAGACTTGGAAGGAAGAAAACTGCAGGCTTAGCAACAGAAAGTTTTGAAGAAGACAAGTGTGGATAGACTGCCCAGAATTGCTTCAGAACAGAAAGTTGTTTGTGTCTCAGATGAACTTTCATTATAAGAACTCTTAAAAGCCCAGTAGGCATGAGGGCCCCTACTGTGGCTACCAGACTATCTTTTACTCCAGCCATTTCAGGGATTGCTCAATGACTTCATGATAAAACTGGCCCTACTCTCAGTACTGAGTCCAATTTGCAAACCTTAGAGAACTAGCCTGAGCTGTTGTGGGGAGCCTAACTTTGAGGCCCCAGCCAGCTCTTTTCTAGCAAGGTGATTCCATTGGATTATGTATTAGTCAGGGTTGGTTAGCTACTGTAACAAACCACACATGGCAAGGGCCGAACCCATTAGACATTGTTCATGTTGCAGGCCACCCCCAGTTAAAGGAATTTGGCAAACACTCAGAGATCCAGTCTCCCTACTTGTGGCTCTCCCCTTACCTATACTCACAAAGTCCTCTTCATTCAGCTGGAAGATGGGAAAGGAGATAGAGTTAGGGTGTTGGATATTTTAATGAGCTGTACACAAAGATGACTATACAGCATTTTCATTTATAAGCCATTGGGGAGAATTCTGCCACATGGCTTCCTGACTGTATGTAATCCTTTTCTCCCACTCCTTCCCTTCTCCCCAGGCAATCACTGATCTGCTTTCTTTTGCATTTTCATACAGTATATGCTCTGTTTAACCTGGCTTCCTTTCCTCTGTATAATTACTAATCTCGGTTGTATATCCATAGCTTGGTTTTTATTGCTGAGTGGTATTTCATTGTATGGAAGTGCCACCAATTGCTTATCTATTCAGTGTGGATGAGCAGCTAAACATTTTTTCATGCCTTAAATCTGAGAACTGGAAGAAAATTATATTTAAAGCAAGTATACAATGTACAGTATGATGAAACTGCATCTTTTGCAACTGTTTAAATGTATTTTTTTTAACATGTTAATGTGTGAAAGCAGTCTTGGCTTCATGGGTGTACAACTATGAAGCCCCAGTGGACCCCATGCTTTGAAGGGTTCTGTACTTGGCTTAATATCATGCTTTTGCCTTCTTGAAATTCTTAATGTTTGAACAAGGGGTCCACGTTTTCATCGTGCAGTGGATGCTACAATTTTTGTACTTGGTCTTGCGTGAGAGAGACCTTGTAGTTTTTTTTACTGATTTTAGGGGGGGATGCAAGCAAACCTTTGGGCCACTGGCCTAAACCCTAAGGTCAGTAAGTGGTTGGGCTTTTGTAACCCCAAATCCAGGAAGGTTTTCAAGTTCTTCTACTTTCTACACTGTGATTTACTCTCTCCTCCTGCCCAAGGCATCAGGCACAGAACTAATTGCTTGAGCAGAGAGGAGGGAAGGGGAAATTATAACAGCAGTGCAAACTAGATCACCATCTCTGCATGGTGCCCTCTCCGCACAGGTGGTGCTCAGCACTGATGGGCCTCACACAGGTACGTGTTGCAGCTGGCCTCCTTACCCTCATCCTAGGTGGGCATCTGTGAAGTCATTATTCCACCAAAACAAACCAGGTCAGAGGCCCTTCCTTGAGTCCTGGAGTTGGACTTCAGCCTAACAACGGTATATCTTAGCACTTTTTGAGGGAGGCAATCAACTTTCCTCTCCTCTCCCCCTAACCTTGAGAATGGACTTTCACCTTTGGGCAAGAAGGCCTAAAGTGGACCCTCCCAACCTCAATGGAGAGGGAGAGGAGGTTTAGAGGAGAAGAAATAAGGCTGGAGAAAATGAAAGGGATGATGGAGTGGGGGAAAAGAGGAAGTTGTGAAGGATCTTGAATCTCAGGGTGAAATTTGGACCTTCTTTGAGGGTGAGGGAGCTGGGACACAGAGAAATGAAGAAATGGGGATGGGCACTCTGGGAGGCTGAGGCAGGTAGATTGCCTGAGCTCACAGGTTCAAGACCAGCCTGAGCCAGAGGGAGGCCTCGTCTGTAAAAATAGCTGTGCATTGTGGCAGGCGCCTGTAGTCCCAGCTACTTGGGAGGATAAGGCAAGAGAATTGCTTAAGCCCAAGAGTTTGAGGTTGCTGTGAGCTGTGATGCCACAGCATTCTACCGAAGGAGACAAAGACTCTCAAAAAAAAAAGAAAAGAAAAGAAAGAAAGAAATGGGAATGGGGATGTTTGGATGAGGCCCTCAGGGAGGCAAAGCTGCTGGACTTTGCCTTGACCTCTTTGAAGTCCTATGACCTAACTGTTGGAGTAACTATTATATGTTAGCTTTTTTTTTTTTTTTT